ATTTGCCCGATGTGTTTTCTAAACAGTCAGCCTCGCTGAAGAAATTAGAGATGAGGTGAACTAAACTGACTGGTGATCAAAATGTGCACTGACTTCCTACTGGTTGCTACAGAAAATGTTGTCTGGGTGAAAAGCCTCAGCTGTTCCTGTAGCAGTGGTTGAGTGAAAACATCAGCAGAGAAAAGCATCGCTGTTATGGAGGTTCAAGAGGGCCTGAAGGCTTGTGTGGTTTCACACTGTCTGTGTAAATGAATTAGGTAATGAATACTGTCTTTGACACACCTACCGGTACAGTATGGCCACTGTTGCTCTGGCTGATGTGTGTAGATGATGGTGACCAAGATTTGTAACAAGGGGACATTTAACAATAAAAAATGAAAATAAACTTGTCAGTGCTCCTAGGTGTACAAACTATAATAAGCCAAGGCCATTTTTCATGTGTCTGTAATAAGCTAAAACTGGCAGATTACACTTGCCATGCGATGTATCAGTTGGGCTTAAGTCAGACTGACAGTTTATTTTTATTTTACTTGATGGCTGTTTTTCAAATGCTGAGAGAGAGTTGGGTATTGAGAAAATATTGTCAGGGAATTTGGATATTGCATTTAGCTGACGCTTTTATCCAAAGTGACTTACAATTGCTGTATATGTCAGAAGTCACACGTCTCTGGCGCAACTAGGGGTTAAGTGTCTTGCTCAGGGACACACTGGTGGATGGGTCACAGTGGGGTCTCTCACACCAAAGGCATGCATCTTATCCATTGCACCATCACCTCCCATATTGAGAGCTTTTGTAGAGTTTGGAGGTAACAGGGGAAGCAAAAGTTGCCTAAAGCTTCAAAAAGTGACATTGTATGTGTAAGACTACTTGTTTGTTTTCCTGAAATGTGGCTGAGGGGGAAAGTAAGTAACACTGTGTCTCTCAAAAAACTAGTCTTGCTTTTATTCCCCACCTGCACAGAGGTCTTTCTGGAAATTTCCAGGTGAGAATGTATGTGACTGTAAGAATGTAAAGCAGGCAGCTGTAGAAAAAAAGTAAGTGTGTTCATTCAATTTCCCCTGGATAAATAAAGGTTAATGACAAGAACGTAGAGTAAATTATGATTTATTGGCACACTCATAGCCCACAGAAGTGGTTTCACAGGATTAACCTATTTTGAAAATGGAGGCCTTGAGGCACAAATTCTTTGGAAGTGTAAACTCTCCCCCTCCAGCCAACTTTCTCTGTTACTGGGACACCAGTCCCTCATGTCTTTTCTAAAAACACAAGTGACAGTTGTGAAACTAGTTACGTTATTCACATGTTTTCTTTAATGGTCAGCCGGCCACATTTATGAGATTTTGTTTTCTCGCAAACATATTGTCCTAACCTGAAATATACTTCTCCTGTGGGTATTTCTACCCACAAAAATTGTCCCTGTGTGTTTTTTTAAATCCAGGAACTAAGATTTAGAACACTTCTCTCTCAAACTCATAAAATCTCATATGAGTTATATTAAAATGTCATAAAAAGCAATGTCAGGATTGCAAATCAGTTCTCAGACGTACCTGGAAACACATAATGTTAATTCCATATGGGTGAGTGATCCTATTATTGGTAGTGATGTGATATTAACTCCCTACAAACTGTACATGAAAACATGGCCTGCAGAGACATATGTACACACTGTATACAGAAAAGCGAGACCATCTACCCAATGTTTACTTTTATCTGTATAGAAACAAGCATATTGCTTGGATCAGTGCTACAAACCATAGCATTTATGGCCCAAACTAATTTGCAATACCCATCCCCAGATTTAAAATACAATATAAGCTAAATTCAACACTGTTGCTGGCTTTTATTTGCACTGGATAAAAGTAATTTCTCTCTCAGTGAATGACACAGTTACTTTAGGTGCCAAATCCAAAGGGACCTAGCATTAAAGCTTTTTTGTTGTTTGTTGTTGTTGTTGCAGTTGTTTTTGGCCACCAGAACAAGCTGCAAACACAACACTGACAAATGATGCGTTTTATTATTTGTAACTACAAACACCATTGCTATTATAAAAATATTGATTAGTGCAGCTTTAAAAGCAGGGGTAAATAGGGTGACCAGCTGCTCTGTGGTCAGACTGACAATACTTTCCCAGTCTTGTATCCATAAACAGATTCCTCTGAATAAAGAAAGTTTATGTACTAGACATTAGTCAGAATGCAATACCTGCCTGTATCGATGCAAGTTCAGATAAAGGATTCAGTGGTAATGCTGGAGTTCACTCAGACGCCTCTGCAACACCCTTGAGGACTATTTAGGAAGGATAGGATTAGGAAACTGAATTTTGTTTGTGTATTCACATCTCCCATTTCAATAAGGATGTTTTCCCATGTTTCAGTTGAACCAAAAAGCGTAAAAAGGTTTGCAATTCAAGAACCAAAGTGCTTATTGTTGAGACAAGTACACATTTGCTTGTCCTGAAATGCCACAGCTGTGTTTAGCTAACCTCAGCAAGTGAGTCTTTAAAAGACACCACATGAGATGTGCCTGCTATTTTACAAAATTTGCATGCTCAGTTGAGGCTTTGTGGGAGACTTTTCTTAGTTTTACTGTCTGAGTCTTCTTTCTGGATTAGGACCAAAGTGGTTTGTGAACAGACACTGCTATAAAAAAAACAACCTTTTTTGCTATATTTGCTGCTGGATTTCACTCTGTTGGATCTATGGCAGAGTTGGTGTTTACATGAGTCCTGGTTTGATGCTAAAAAGAGATATAAAATATTATTTATCAGATATATTCTTTGATAGTTTTGAATCTAATGTTTTGATTGCATCTGAAATCCCACAGTCTGCCCTCAAAAGTCTAATATTGGTTTTAGTTCTCAAAGCCAACAGGTACTAGGTTGCAATTATCATATTTTCAGACAGCGCAAACCACTTCTGCTGCACAAGTATCATTAATCCAGTTCAACTTGTTGACACACAGACACATCACAACCTCTCTAATTAAGATTCAACCACAGTTCCCATGATTGGTCTGCTACATGACTCTGGTATGGGGAACTCCAGCGATTTACGGGAAGAATCATAAAACTGTAAACCAGACTATACCAGGAAACTATGGGCATGAACCTACACTTAGTGACTCCTTTGTCAGCTAATATAACTACAGAAGTGAACTTACTCATAATCTTAGCTGTGTGGGTTTCTGGCTCGTAAAATAACCATCCATATGAAATCCCATTGAATCTTTCCGATGACTAGTTACACGTGGCGGAGATCCTGTTGTAAATTAGATCATCAATATCTGGCAGATGGCAGGGAAGAGTGGAAATCAAGTGTACTCCAATAAACACTCAGGGACTATTGCACAGTAGAGCTACTGTCTGTGACAGGGGTGGGGGAACTTCTGTTTGGCCCACCATTTTCCAGCCTCCCTGTCCTGCATCACTAACTAGCAGAGAGATGTGGTCCATTACTCTTCTTCTGTTAACAAGCTTCTGGAACAGATTCCAGCCAATCGGCTGCCACACAACGCCTGGCTGTTTGCTGCAAGGGTGGCCTTAATGCCTGCAGTAATGAATCAGCCCTGACTGTTACAGCGGCTCAAAGGAAACCAAATATACACTCGCTGCAAAGTCGCACTCAGAACTGTTTGATTGAAGCCTGCTGACAAGGGGGTCGGACACTCTGTTTGTTTTGGTTTTACTTCATCTGGGACCTTCTCTGCTGGTCACCTTGGTCCATTTGTTGTTAATGATTGAATGCAGAGTTGCCGATGGCTGGAAATAACGGAATAACATTCAGTGTGACACATTTTGGGTTTTATGTTTCAACCCTTCAAATGGCATGGCAAGTTGTCACACCAGCTGAGTCACAGCTCTGCAACATTGCAGTAAATAAATCCTGCATGAGTTTAGCGCAAATTAGTGGCGGGATGTACTAAGTGCATTTACTCAAATACTGGTCTTAAAGGGGAACTCCACATATTACACACATTTATGTGTGTTTTCAGGGAGTACTACGGAATAGATGAACAAAGTTGTATGAAACATTTTGTGGCTCCAGAGGGAGCTGCAGTTGAGTCAGCGTTAGTTGGGGTTGAAGACTACAACTTTGAAAATGAAAAACATCTGGAGGTGTGGAGGCTATCGGCCCGAGGCTACATTAGCAGCTACTTGCATAACACGAGAATCTCCAACTGAGCTGTCCATTGTGAGTCCTACAATGTTTTAGGAGTGCAATGCTAAATTGTTTAAGTACTAAAGCACAATTTTGAGGTACTCTTACTTCAGTATTTCCATTTTATGCTATTTTATACTTCAGCTCTATTACACTTAAAGCAAAAACATTGTACTTTTTACTTCAAAGCATTAATCTGATTCTAATCTGATTTTACATTAAAAGGTAATCTGATAAAATACAAAACATTGTTGAAGATTTAACCAGTGGTTTCTGACCTTTTTGTCTCTTGCAATCTCTAGCATAAAAGCGGTGTGTAGTTGGGACCCCTTGTCACGTATCAGATGTCTTTGAGTTGTAGCCAGTTTCACAAAAGAGACATTTCCCCTTTAAACTTATCAGATAATAAATAAGTGTTTAGGCTCTCAAATATTTCTAATTCCTACAGATTTGTGCTGCAGAACATTGCTTTTTCTTGTTTGCTCTCCCATTAATCATCTCATAAGCCCTCAGATTTATCTTCTGATCCTAAACTAGCTACTTAACTGTATATAAATAAGATAAGCTACAGCTACAATGGTAAAATGCTCAGTCATATGATCAGTCACTAGTTTTGCTAATGATACTTTTCTGTATGTAAGGAGGATTTTTAAAAAGTTGTAATAGGGTACTTTTTCATTTTTGTATTGGTATATAAGTTGGTACATTGGTACTAAATTAAAGAATGTTCCACCACTGCTTCACAAAGCTGTTATGTGATATGTTTCAGAAAGTGATTTATATTTGTATTTTTTCTTGTCTTTTAAGATGACTCATTTGGGTTTGGTTTCTGTCTCCCACAGTGCATGAGAGATGAGTGACTGAGCAGCAGTTTGGAACAAATGACTACTCATCTTTACACATGCTTGGGTAGAGAAAAAGAAGATGCCAGTAGTTGAAAATCAACCTAATTTGATTACATGTGAGAACTGAAAGATGGTGTAGATGGTTTTACCTCCAAAGCATTCCTAACGCTGCTCCAAGAGAATCACCATCAAAGTTTTTACTGACGGGATCTATTGGTGTAAGTCAGTGCACGGGGGCCAGGATGTGGCCCCCTGACCTCGGGCCTCCAGACGTCCAGCTGACTCTTCCGGGTTTTGGAAGTGTGTTTGAGGATGCCGAGGACCTTCAGGCGCCGCTGTCTTCTGGTGGCTTCTGTCAGTCATCGATACACTCAGGTGGTCTGGGCGTGTGCTGTCTTCCGAGGACTTCCCTGTCCCTTTCCTCGCTGGGCCGTGACCTCACCTCCCTGCTCAGCTGTAAGACAGCTGGATCCCACATAGAAAAGACGATGGAGGACTTTGCCACCACAGCACACACAGATCCTAAAAACAACAACCAGAGGTTCAGTTGTTACCCCCAGCCCTCCCTCCCTTTGTCCTATATGCTCACTGGCTGTGCCACATCGCCTCCTTTTGGCTCTCCACCATCCTCTCTTTCCTCTTCCTCCTCCTCCTCATCTTTATTTTTTGCCTCTTCCCTGATTCTTTCTGATGCACCTGGGGACAACAAGTCCTCTCATCAACAACAAAAGATACAGGAAGAGTATCACTCAATCAAGCAAGAGCCTGCAGATGATTTCTCACCATGTAAGCAGGAACCATTTCAAATGAACAACCAGCAAGGGGAGCTATTCCATGTGGGACAGGCCCTCCAAGGCCACGATGCCCAGGAAAACACCCCACTTCATTTCCTGAGACACAATGGACCTTCAGGACAGGACCTCACAGTGGACCAACAGGACCAGCCGTGTCATTGGATTGACTGCAGTGCCACTTACAGCAGTCAGGAGGAGCTGGTGAGGCACATTGAGAAGGTGCACATTGACCAGCGCAAAGGGGAAGAGTTTTCCTGTTTCTGGGCCGGCTGTGTGCGACGCCACAAACCCTTCAACGCTCGCTATAAGCTGCTCATTCACATGAGGGTCCACTCTGGAGAAAAACCCAATAAATGCATGGTGAGTCAGTTTGCTTTTGTCTGGATGATAACAATAATCAGATTTGACGGACTATTACAGAACCAGTGGAGAACAAACAAAACATGCACAGCCATTCAGCACTTTGAACATATAACAAGTCACACTTGGGGGTTGCTTGGTACTAGGAAATATTTTTACTGCTGACCACTGGCATTTATTGATTTTTGTGTATTTGTATAGACGCCCATTGAGGGATGGGAATTGCAGTCTAGCTTAGGCAATAAATGTATGTGCGGTTGGTCCGTGCTAGATACTTGTAGTTAGAAATTAAAAATATTAAACATTTATGATGATGTTCAAAAGTCAGATACCAATATCTCCATAGCAGACTCTCTAACTCTCTTGATCTTGGTTTTAGCTGTACACATGAAAATAACAGTTTCCAACAATTTTATTTACTCAAAGCCACCTTGGTGAGTATACCTGACCACTGGAGGTGCTGTAGAGCAATGTTTTTATAGTATGAGATGTTCCGCAAGCATAAACGGAACAACACGTGTGCAAATTGCAAACATGGGAGTGGCATGATACACATTTCTGAAATGGACTGGATTAAAGCTGTGTAAGGTTGCAGTATACAAAGAAAACAGGACAGGAAAAAGACTGATGTAATAAATGCAGATTTCAGAGCATTAAAAATAAAGTCTTTGCACATGTTTTAAAGTAGTCATATTATGCTAATTTCAGGTTCATACTTTTCTTCAGAGGTTGTACCAGGTAACAGGTTTAGATGGATTATAACACCCGATTTTTGTCATACTGTACATTGCTGCAACACCCCTGTGTTTTGACCAGTCCGTTTTAGCTATGGAGTGAAGCATCTCACATGTAGGCTATATGATCTTTGTTGCGCAGTACCTAGTGAAGGTCTACTAGTCAACTTTATGTCCATTGACTGACGTTGTCACTGTGTGTGCTGCAGCTCAGTGTGTTTCTCCACCAGTGTTTTTGAGGGCGTGACTGACTAGCTGCTAGGCGAGCATTATGACGTGTCTTACGAAGTGACACAACTTGTTCACGGAAGTATAGGCTGGACTACAGTCGAGCTGTTTTCAGGCTGTTCAGGAGCAGTATTTTCTGTGGGAGATGGGAACTCCATTTGGGGTGGACTGAAGGCTTGTTCTGATTGGCGATTGGATCGGCTATTGGCGATTGAAGGGATAATCAGCCATTGGTTGTTAACTAACTCACTATCAGAGCTAAGATGACATAAAAACTGTCTCTACAATCTGCACCACACTGCAGTGTTCCCCATTTATTGATTTATTTGTGGCAACATGACACGCCACAATATCAACGCCACATATTATATACTATTTAAAATGAGTAAAATCATAATTCATTGTGGAGCTGCACACAGCACATAGATCCACTCAGCACCTTGGCTTGCTCTCCCTCTCTCAGTCTCTCACAAACACATTGAAACGGAGCCGTCTGTATATAGAAAAACTACTGCATTCAGGTTAACTCTGAGAAGTTATCTATTATTTTCTTAACACAGCGATTTAAGCACCTAGTAATTCATTCTGTGGAAAACACTGTACTGCACATTTACAGATGTTTCTGGAGTTTTCTCTTAAAGCTAATAAGCCCATTTCTTCCATGCTGGCATTTCACTGGCATGCTACAATGTAACCGCCCCCCGGCGATCAGATCACCAATCGTTGATCTCAAATTATCATGATTAGATGATATGAAATTAGAGAAGATCGTCCAAGCTTGGGCCTTTTCACTTTGCAAAAATATTACATTCATAAAAAAGATATATTACTCAATAAAGGAGAGGGAAAAAGCATGATATGACCCCTTTAAGAGGTGTGAAATGTACCCAACCTGGTGTACCCTTAAGGACGCACTTACACATTTTGTTAACATTAGTTCAATGTCTTTACATAGAATGAAAACTCTGCAGGGTACCTTTAATCAGACTCTGACTCACATCCGGTGGAGCTGAGGCAGGCCAAATGAAGCCTGTTTGCTGCGGCTAACCACCTTTGACGGAACCCACCGAAATGGCCATGCCCTTACTTATGCATAACTTTAAACCTTAATATAATTTAAACGGGTAAGTTGTCATGAGTGGGGATCTCACCTATATAAAGTAAGATTTTATTTTTAATTAATCAGTAATGAAGAGAGAGCTGCAGTACTGCAGATCCACCAGCACTGCTGCAATGATTTTCAGTCAGTTAAAACATATCTCATTCTTTCCAAATTTATGTTGCTTTCAAATGGGCCATTTAGAGGTTTAACTGGGTTTGAAAGGCATTAACGTGCTTACAGTGCGTCTCGACTTCTTTCAGTCTGAGCAGCCGATGATCAAGAGTCTGTTAGACAGAGAGATGATCAAATGGTTTCCTTTCCTTGCGACAGGTTTCCCTTACTCATGCATGCCAGAGGGAGAAACATGGCAGTGTTGAATGAATGGAGGATGTGTCTGTAGCACTGAGCATTCAAAACCCTGCTGATCACCCTGTAGTTATTCTGACAAAGGCAATTCATTCAAAGTTATTAAGTTTTTACACTTGGTGATGCAATAAACTGATAAATCATTCATTCCTGTAGAAACTATGTTTCCACAGACTGTCTGTAAAGTTTTATTGAACTTAAATAAGTTTTACTATGGTAACACCAAGTGTGGTTTAATACTGCAAGTCCCAGAATTCTCGGAAGCCGCTCCTTTGTCAGAAATATATAAAGAGCAACAGGTGTTTCGGTCTACAGTGTAACAAAACAAACAGTGTCTTTATAAAGAAGTCAGTCTGTAATTGTCAGAGCTGTTGTAGACCTGATTTTATGCCGCATACTGCGCAAATAGTTTTTTTCCACTCAACAGCACGTAACGTTGGTTACCTGGCTTAGGAGGTAACAGATCACTGTGCCTTCTGCTTCTTGTTTCAGTACTTTCTACAATATTTAAAAGTGGCCAAACAAAACACCCTAAGTTGTTTTCTTTCATTTTCTTTTCCTGTGACTGCTTTACAATTAAAGCCACCTCGCGTTTAGCCAACTGAATGCTTTCAATGTGGAGATGTTCAGTTTGTATTCTGAGTAACTTGACACAGCTCTGATGTGGTGTAAAGAGAATGCACATTAAACAGAGAGGCTGATATAAATTAGATAAAATGTCATGACTTGTTGCTATGAGTGCCTCTTGTGCAAGGGTGGAAATTTATTGTCAGACCACTGATGGTCTGAATAACTCACCAGATCTGACCCTAGTTGCTTTTTAGAAATAAAGTCGCTGAGGATCTGAAAAAGGTAGGCAGCAGACCAAGCTACTGTGAGGCATATGAGGGCGGGGGGACATAATCTTTCAAAACTTAAAGATGCATTGGACTTGTAGTAGAGAACAAGAGCTGTTAACTGTTTGTGTACCAAAAACGTTCACTAGATGCTGACGGACAACAGTGATTATTTATACATTTTTGGATCAAAATTATTGCTAGGGAGAAAATAGTTAATTCTTCTTTTTAAATGTATTTTAGAGTTCAATGTTAAAATTGGACTGCATTATTTTGATGGTGTAGTCCAGTACAACACATAGATCACATAGCCTAACAGCTGGGTGGCAATGGGGCAGTGGATAACACACATGTCTTTGGTGTGAGTAATCTGTGTTCAATTCCCACTGTGACCCATCCTCCATTGTGTCCCTGAGCAAGACACTTAACCCATTGTTGCTCTAGAGATGTGCGACCTCTGACGTGTTTAGCAATTGTAAGTCATTGTGGGTAAATGTGTTAAATTTGGTTAAGAAGAGTTCAGAGACGCAGCAGTTGGGAGGAATTTTCCCCGAGTCAGAACTAATAAATGCCTTAGTAAAGATTATATGTTTGGTGTAGTCTGAAGTTGTGTCAAACAGCAACATTAGGTATCTTGTCTCAATTGTTGAGTGTCTGTGGGGAGGCCCGCAGTCTCAGACTTTGAAAACCCCTGCACTGTATACCTAATAAAGTTGCCACTATTAATAGAGAGGTAATTACTGGATATAAATATATTAGAATCAGAATCAGCTTTATCAGCCAAGTACACACACAAGAATTTGGTCTCCTGTTTTTAAGTTGCTCTCAATGTGCCTACATACAGAGCAATCTACAGGAAGACAGAAAAAGACATACAGATAAAAACAAGGACAACAAACCTGAAAAAAGGCAGGTAAAACTAAACGTATAACTAATATGTACATTATAAACAAGTTGTTGAGAAATTGCTGTGTACATACGTATAATTATGTTTTTAAAAAAGCAACAATGACCAACAAAAAAGTGTCTATTCACAAGTCAAGTCTGTAAACTGTAAAATAAAAAAATACAAATACTGCAGAAGGATACATATTAAATGGGTAAAGTACTATATTACTTTATATACATGAAGTAGATGCATCTATACATGTCAATAAACAGTATATACAGCATGCAGGATTTATAGACCGTTGATATGTACATGTTAGAGAATTTATAATTTGTACTAAATTGAATGGCTAGTGCAGAATAAAATACAGACCATAAATGGTATCACAAATGAGATTTGATTTCATGGAAATTATAACTTCAAGTAGCATAGGATATAGTATTTTGTGATGTAATAAGCAGATAAACCATTCACTATGGTAGAACTCCTGCTGTGTTCCCAGAAACTCTTCCTACCTCATGTGTCTGAGCAACTTGTCTTTTGAAACGCTTTTGGGCTGTTTAAGTATGATGGTCTATAATCCTTAAAATGACAGAATACAACAGAAGACTGAAAAGCTTCCAGGGTCCAGAAAAAACAGACCATGTTAGGTCTGAGAAGTGAGAGACTGTGAGGATCCTGCATTAACCATCACAACAGTGGCCTTTGCGCCCTAGTCCAGCGTCACCCTGCTTCACTTCTGTCATGAGTGATTTGCTAAAACACAACTATTGCTGCTTGAACACGTCTGTCCCATGATGTCCTTCAGGTTGGTGCCAGATCCCCATCCCTGAGAGTGAGTAACTCTCTCCTTAATTCCACAGAGACTCGGTCGCTGTCATCAACCTGGGACTCCGATTAATAATTTATTCAGAAATTTGGACACAGGGCTTCAAAGTTAATTAGTGCATTAAAATGACCTAATCCACTGCCGGCTTGTAAATATATTACTGCGGAGAGTTGAACAGATTAATAAAATTAAATCAACATCACACACCAAAAATTAGTCATTAGTCACACTTGAGCCACGTCAGTAACGTCATTTCATTTTCACTAAGAGCTCAGGCCAAAACATGTAAATTAAGTCACACCGAGTGCAGCAATGGAAAATGTATATCTCGCATGAATGTAGTTAGTGTTTGTTAATGAATTCAGCCGTATTTACCAGCTCGTAATGTCGAGTCTCAGATTAGACAGGTGCTGTTCAAGACTGTAAACACAAGTTCCCAAAGCGTTTTTAAAGCCATCGTGTTAGAGTCATCAGTCAAAATTTATGGTGTTGTTATGACATTAATATGCACAGTACTGTGCATATTAATGTCATTTCAGAACCATACATTTGTAAGCATAAGTCTGGTGATATTCTGTTTTCCCTACTGTCAACAAATCGTGTGAAAAAATACCAAAACCAACAACGATCCTAGTCCTACGAGTCTGTGTAGCCAAACCTCATATATATTATTTCTCTGTGTCATAGAGCTCCATTGTTGTCAAGCTACACTGTCGCACTGGCTGACATGTTCCTTCATTACAGTGAACATGTGCACTGTCACACAGGACTGTCCTCCTGAAGAAAAACAACAGCACCAGTTGTTTCAGCAAGTGGCCCATAAAGACATATGTTTACAAGGGTTGTGATGATACAAGACACAACATTGGGTTGACGAGAATGAGGCGATATTTTAACATTGTTTTTAAGAAATCCTCACTCACAAAATATATGACTGGAAATACATTATCTTTTATTCGACTGAAAGTCACAAAATGCAAAATGTTGCTTACATATAGTTTGTGTCTTGTCTGTCACTCTGTCACCATTTGTTGTTTCCACCGGGTACCCAAAATGCTGCCACACAAACAAAATACTGGGCCCATCTTCTATCTTCATCTTCTATGCTAATTTCACAGACAGATTTTCACCTCGACAAGAAATATTGTAACGTTTTAATATCGCAAGATCTCATGGCACGAGATGTCGTCACACCCCTAATGTTTACGCTCAAGTGACAAAACTTGTCTGGTGATGTAGTTGGTGAGCGACAAAGTCCTTAGAGGAAGATGATCGTGGTGGTCAGAGGGATCAAAAAATGTCTGGCCTTGATTCGGGAGACCCCGACCATCCCCTAACCTTAGCCACAAGGTCATTGTTGTCACCACGACGTCATGTCATTTTACCCAAAACACAATGTTTCCCGAAATGTAAGTGTTTATTTCAACCCAAACCTCTCATCTTTCCCTAAACCAGAGCATTCATCACATCATAAAACAGATTAATAAAGAAAATAAAACATTGATTTTAAAAGGGTTTTGGAAGACACAGACAAATGACGTCGTCCTGCCAATAAATGAACTATTTACTCCTGTTTGAGTAATGTGTGTGCAGTGAATGTAATGGAGTTTAGAGTCACTGACAGTAAGTACGTCAGAGAGACACATTGTAGGTTTTGGTCTTTTCATAGGATCTGTTGTTTGACAATGCCAAAAATATAAAACATCACCAGCCTTTAAGGACACACATTAAAAAAATCTAATGATTAAAATGGGACAGTACAAAAGACGTCTAATTTTAAGGAATAACAAACTAAATCTAAAATTGCAGGATAAACCTCTTCAAACGTCAAGAGTGAAGATTAACAGTTCCCTTGAGTTTCCAAGAATTTGTTTTCATGTCTCCATTTTTTGGTAAAAACAAGAGAAACATTATTCTTGTGGTAACAGAGACTTTAAAAAGACACTATACTCACATGCTGTCATGATGAGGAAATAAAGCACAATAAACTGTAACGCCGCTTAAATAAAGCTGTGCTCAAATTTCTACTCTGTCAAAGATTTTAGAAATCTGTTTCTATTTTGGAGCCATATATATTTGGAAGTGTAGGGTTACATTTGTTGTTGTTCTTTTTTCATAATGTTTTAACCACAGTAGCCATGGGGTAAACTGACTTGCAAAACTGAAGGGGCCTTACGTCTTTCTTCTTTTCAAACAACTTCAAACTGATGCGTTCGAGTGGAGTTTGTCCTCACAGCTCAGGTCACACAGGGCTTCAAAATGTTTAAATCTGATAATATTTCATGTCCTCGGTTTCACACGACATGAAGAGTCTTAATCTATAATCTATGTGTGCTAATACCTGTAGATGTGACTGAGCTGATATTTCAGTGACTGGTCTGTATTTTTTTCTGGGTTGCTTTTAATTTCTGTGTTTTAGTTTCTTGTCTTTTTTGCCAAGGCGATCTGAAGCTCTCGTTTAATGACCATGATGTAGTTTTTTTCTTAATGTACTGACTTATTCAACTAAATGAGGCGACTGACATTTACAGACTCATTAGCAAAACATAATAAAACCCCGGAGGTAGAAAACTATTTCCATATTTTGCTCTGGATTAGTTTAAAAAGGATGAAACACTTTAAGTATAAGAATCAGACCCGGATCTCAGACCTACAAAATCCTTTTCAAAAATAAATCTGTACCTAATTGAAAATATTTCTTTAAAATATTATCTATAAAATAAGATGTTTCTTTATTGATCCCCCATATAGGGGCATTTTTAAACGTCATGACATAAATAAATAAATGATTTGCCTTAATTTTGTGTCTTTATCAGTCTCGTTAGTAGATGACTCTTCTTTTCATCTACTGATTGATGGACACATTGGATAATTTTCCATTTGATCTTCAAAATTTGTTGAATTTGCCACGTAAGGGGGAATCACAATGTGTTGATCATGGAAAAAATTTTTAAATCCTCTCCTGTGATTGTCTAAATGTCTCCGGGATGTTTAAATCAAACACTGAGAAATATTTCTATTTAAACTTTGACTTACATGCCAGAAATGAAAACATTGGTCATTTCCCTGAGATTTGAGATTGAATGTGACACAGTTTCTGTAAAGCTTTGGATTACGGCCTACGATGTGCTGCCAGCTGACTCTGATATTTGCTTCTTGTCTGGCTCGAGTCTAACAGAAACCTTTACCAGACCTTACTACAGCCTGGTGTGTGTGTGTGTGTGTTTGTTTGCTATTGCTATTTGGAAAAAGGCTATTACCTGAAGTTTATAATTCAATGACCTTTCAATTGTGATATATTACCCCTTTACCAGTTATTTCTGTTGGACCAGATCAACAACTGTAATGTGAAAGTGAGATTTTATTATGTGTTAGTCACAGGCCAACATGCTTTATTAAAGGTCCAGAAGGGATTTGTATATGATTTCAAGGTACAAGGTAGTTTATAGGTTGTAGTTCCCTTTATGATACTCACAAAAACAAACATTATATTAAAAAAAATATATACAATAGATGGATGGATAAATAACAAGTCATAGAAATAAAACTATTTTACATGGTGCAGTGCAGAGGATGAATATAGGAGTCTCACAGCCTGAGGGAAGAAGCTGCTCTGCAGTCCGGTGTTGCAACAGTAGATACTTCTGTACCTCTTGCCAGACGGCAGCAGGGTGAATGGGCTGTGGCTGGTTGGGTATTGTCTTTCAGTATCCTTGGGGCTCTGCGTGGGCACCTCACCACACCCATAACACTGATGATTAGTAGATGGGTACCAGTGATCTTCTGATCACCCACTGCAGAGCCCTACTGTCCTTGTATATGATTTTTATTGAAGATAGAAGTTTAAATTCCTTTTGCTTACCAGAAGTGAGTGCAAGGCATTTTTACATTTTGTCCCTGGTTAAAATGTTCTGCAGTCAATCATTGTATACAAAATATGCATCAAAGATAGTCGTCAGTACACAGTAAAATCTACCAAAAGTTGGGTGCACATTTCTTTAGAAGCCCAGTATTCATGCTAAAAGATGTTTTGTCTATCATTAGGCCAAGTAGTGGGTGTCAGGCTGTGACGTCATAAAACTAATGCGATTTTTTGGGGCAATAGAAACAAGATGTGAACATAGCACTGACATATCATAACCTCTAAGTTGATGTGCTGAGCGTTGGCACATTTTCTGGGTTTGTCGTGCTTCTGGCAACCCAACGACTTCAAGTCCAGTATTCACTTTTATTTTTTATACCTTTGTTTTGGTCTCTGCCAACTCCAGAGGGAAACGTCTGGCTCTTAAGCTGCTAAATGCTCCACTTTGTTCTCCAGGTACTCGCTAACTTTGTCTGTCTTCTGTAGTTGAAAATAGGTTGATGAGAGCAGTGAGAGTGAACAGTAAAGTTGTGGGCCAGAAAACCAAAACAATGAACTGAAAAACAGTAAATGGTCAGTAGAGCTGAAGGAAACAGCAGAGTCAGGTGATAATTCTCAGTGGATTTATCACTATGAGTGGCCCCTTTACTATATATACACTACATACAGTAATTTGACTCATTGTTAATATAAAAATACTGATTACAGCTGCTTTGACTCCTAAACCAACAACCTATTTTATATGGACTTTAAACCACAAAAGAATTTTACAATCTAAAAGAAAAGGACTATTATTTATCACTCTTTTCAAATGGTGGGTGTGTCATGTTGTAGTAAGACTGTTTGATTTTCCATATCAGTTTGAGGGCTGCTCCAAGGCATTCTCACGTCTGGAGAACCTGAAGATCCATCTGAGGAGCCACACAGGAGAGAAACCGTACATCTGCCAGCATCCCGGCTGCCTCAAAGCCTTCAGTAACTCCAGTGACCGGGCCAAACACCAGCGCACACATCTGGACACGGTCAGTGCACAGCAACACAAAAGCCATCCACACTACACCTGTCTATAAGAAGCTTATTGTATCACACATTTATGTACAGTATGAAAGCAGTGAAATTATTAATTATCCATTAACAATTATATTTCTACACAAACCATCCTTTGTGAAAGTGAAACAAATCAAAAAAGTTGCCCGTTAGCCCCTTTAAAGCCTGCACTTTTACATATTTGTCTCGTGTCTGAATAAGCATCTGAGTCACTTTTCTGTAAAAGTCAAATCCAAACGAACTACTGTAGGTCTATTAACAGTTCCATAAACCCTTTCAGCACAGCACAAATCTGGTCAGATTAGAGTAAAGACTGCAGGAACAGACAATAAAACATGTCCACTGTAATAAATGTATCATTAATTGACATTTAATGCACTGAGAAATGAAAATCTGTTCAATAAACCCTGAAACATTGTGAATAAGCCAATTTCAGATATTTTCTTCCTGTATTTTCCCAATCATCATGAAGGAAAAGGAGGACACCCCCCCCCCCCCGACCCCAAATTTTGTATTTTCAATTTTCATTCATCACCTTGCCTAAATATTAAACTCTTCGGATCTACACAAATCACAAGGGTGCCATTTATTTCATTCAAAACAGGCAACAAGTTTTCAGCTATGATTTATGCCTGCATGGATGAATGAATAACAATATTAGATAGCGTTATATACAGCATGTGAGCAAAAAGGAATTAAATTCAGGGTCTCCACTCAATATCTTGTCAATTTTAAAAGCAGGAAGCAGAATTCACCATCTATTAACCTTAAATGATGAAACTGGGAATTTATCACGGGTTTCAGAGAAGCGGGGGCGATCATCATAAATCACCGCTTCATGGGAAAAGAAGTTATGAAATCCATAACTGATGCAGCCTGAGAGAAAACAGAAAACACTCTTCTACCTTGAAATCCAAACTTTTAAACTCTCTATTGCTCCCTCTATATACACTATATATACAGTATCTCACAAAAGTGAGTAAACCCCTCACTTTGTGATATTTGATTATTATATTGATTTTCATGCGACAGCACTGAAGAAATAACACTTTGCTACAATGTAAAGTGTACAGCTTGTATAACAATGTAAATTTGCTGTCCCCTCAAAACAACACATCACACAGCCATTATTGTCTAAACCTCTGGCAACAAAAGTGAGTACACCCCTGAGTGAAAATGTCCACATTGGGCCCAATAATCCATAGTGCACCACCGCTATCCGTTCAAAACATAGTCAGACTTATATATATATATATAATTTAACACACTGAAAGTGGCTGCATGAATGAGTAGTTTTTCTTTTAATACTTTAGATACACTTTGCTGATGTACTTTAACTTAAAGGAAGGAACTGTTAAAGTCAAGTGCCCATATGAATATAGAAGTAGGTTTTGCGTGCTGTTATAATTTCAGTTACAGTCTTTATAGTATAAAATTCCCTCTTTGTGTTTCCCCAGACACTGTTACGATGTTGAGCTATAGTGGGAGGACAATAACAAAAAGATGGAATTTTGCTCTAAAAAGACTGACTTTGGAAGATATACACTTGATGGATCTCACTCAGACTCATATCCCTCTCAGATAAACCTTTTGAATATATTTTTTGCATAGAATGAGAACTGTGGATTTTTTTCTTCAACCGCTGAAGGTCAATTTACACGTCTGCATGAATGTACACTGTAGGTACGCCATAGTTTACATGTTGCAATGTAGCCACATACTCTACACCTTACTCTATGCTGTAGCCTGAGGTCTTGTATAGTACTACTGCATATGTATTACTGCATATGTCAGCATTGGTTGTGACTGCAAGTTTGAAAATTAAAAAAATCTGATGGCATGACGTCAGAAAACAATGGGTTTACCAGAACTCTGTAGCCCCCTCCTCATCTCTGCTTGCTGCTAGCCACTCGAGGCTACATTAGCCGCAACTAGCAAAACACAGTTACTATCAAAACTGTTAGCTGTCAAGTTCCATTGCGGTTTTGATACTGAATAAAAAAGACATTATCTCTGGTATTGTTGCATTGTTTTTCATACTTTTTTTTTTTTTTTTAAACTGTCCATCGTGATTCTGACAGTGTTGTAGGATTGCAATGCTAAATTGGAGGATTACTCTTTTAAGTAAAGGATCTGAATACTTCTTCCATTCTTTCATGTCTGCATAGTTATTTGGAACATCTGAATGACAAAAAGCCATCACTTAAACATGAAACCAGTGATGAGCTGTAGAGTATAAAGCTCACTCTCCTTTAGGTTTACAGATTTCTTTATGATATACAGTTTTTGCTAAGTAATAAGAGGTATGTGTGGTGCACTTAACCCACATAAAGTCACTTTAATTTATAGTGCCTACCGTCTTTCCCCCTCTTTGTGCATAGTTGCCTGATGTACAGTCTGAAAATTCTTTGGGATTGTGAAACTGCATACCTTCTGTGGATTTATTTTGCAAACCACAGTTATTTTTACTCCTGCTGACAAGCAATGAGGACTTAGCTCTAATCCAGCAAATCAGATCTCTTATTACACGGGTGAGATGGAGCTGTACGTTGCACTCCAGTGTTATTACAACAAGAGGAGAAAGTTATTTTCTCCGTTTTGTGGTTTCACGCTGGCTAATGGCAGCTTCGCAGTTGCGTCACAAATCAAGATTCAGACACATGTGGCGCCATAATGAAGGCCCAGTAGAGAACTGGATGTGAATAATTGCTGAAAATAATATAACAACCTGCCAAGAAAAGACTGGTGTCAATACAAGTTATTTAGGTTTGACTAAATAACTTGCATTATGTTACTAATGGTATATATAATAGTGTGTTATGAAAGATTTGTTTCCAAAATTAGGTCAGTCTCAACTAAATTTGCAGCTCAAGGAACCAAAGAGTTGTTTGGGGATTTTTTAATCAGTATTAAGTTTCTGCGTGATGTGTTAGCTAAAGATAACTTAGCAAATGTTGAAAACAAAATCAGCAAGAACAATCAGTGGTGAAATGATAAGTGACCAAGCGAGCATGTTGGGCACTGTGGAGGAGCACTCGCTCTGATCTATGTTAGAGTAATTGCATGTCTGAATTTTCTGTCTTTAGATAATTACACAAATTTTGGTGTAAAAAGAAAAAGACAATGAAAAAACAGAACAGCAGAGAGGAATACATCATAGACAAAAAGATGATGCTTCAGCTTATTGCATCTAGCCTTTTTACAAAACACTAATTTGATGTCAAAAGTAAAATTAAACCACATGTAATCCATCACTACTATACTAATGCCAATATGCCATTCTTGTTATACTTACTTATTAAGATTTTCAGTTCCTCGCTACAACTGTTCCTTCAAAATTTTACTCTTCCCTAAATGCAGTGAATTTTTACATTAGTCTTGAACCTTTGTTTCTAGAACATGAAGTTATTTCTTTTTGACCCAATACATGATTTGTGCTGCTTTAAAATCTGCCAAGTTTCTTAACTTCAGAGCTCTTAATGTGTGGCTTAGTTGGTTCTTGATAATTAGTGTTAAACTATTCAGCAAAGCACTGTGTAGTTTTTTGGGCTTTTTTTACTTGTGATGTTCAGATTCTGGTACATAAACCAGCAAGATTCAACTAAACTCTGTACATGTGTTTTCATGAAAACTTAATTCAGTCCACCTGGTTAAACACTCGGCAATGAAAAAAGGAAATAAACCTGTAAGGAATTAGATTCATGGAAATGGGCTCATTTACTCATCTAAACTTATAACTTTGATAAAATTGTGAAATGTAGACGTCACCACCTCAGTAAATCAAGAGCAGATCCGTACTGCTTTTAATGGTGGAAAAAGGTCTATATGTAAGAATTTAATGTTTACAGTCAAACCACATTTCAAAGCATGTTCTTTGATGTGTTTTATAATGTCTTTTAATTTGAATTGATCTGATTGACTGCAATCACCTGGTGAAGAACCTCTTAGGTAGCAAATATTTTGTCTGTCACTTACTTTAATCTATGCATAAATAATGTATGTTCTCTGAATCACAAACCTTTGCTATGAATCATACTGATTGCAGGTAGATGTTGACCTCATGTATAAACTGATTTATGGCTAAACAGGAGGCAGTGTATCTGTACACTGTGCTGTTCCTCTTAACTCTTCTCTCTCTTCCTCTCCTAAAGCCTGCAGACAAAAGGTAAATATACTCCCTTTTCAGTTGAGGAGTACATTACATAAAATGTTGACGTAATCTACATGCACTTCCTTTCTCCGTTAGTGCAGTTGTCACGCTATGTAACCACATTTACAGCATTTATCCTAAATGTTTGTGTGTATGATACACAGGACTACTGTACACACAGTATCACACCTGTGAACCATCTGAGTCTACTAAACTGTTGTTTGTAAACACATATTTTGTGTTTGACATCATATCCAGTGTGACTAAACCATGTCATGTTGTGTCCTGAACACGTGTGAGTTTTTATAGAAAGTTTACAATATGAATATAGAGTATAAAATAGAGGGTTTAGTCTGCACCATGTTGTTAACCATGAACTTAAAATACCGAAAGTGAATAAACACCCTTGGATGGATGTATGTGTTGTGTATTTTAGGGTCTATTTTGTTGTTTGGTTTCATGTTTCCTTCTTGTCAATCTTTTGTTATAGCAGCTAAAACAGAAAATCTAAGAGAAATTGTCATGTTTTGGAAATGCTACATGTCAGATGTTTTGTTTTTGGAACATGAAAACACGCATTTCAGAGTACGCTAAGGTATTTCCCCCTCCGTTTCCTCATGGTTTTCTCCTTTCTTCTTGACGCTGTTCATTCACAGAAGCCATACGCCTGTCAGATCCCAGGATGCACCAAACGCTACACCGATCCCAGCTCGCTACGAAAGCACGTCAAAGCTCATTCAGCTAAAGGCCTTCAGGAGAGGGAGGTCAAGGTAACGACAGCAAATATGTTTTAACATCTTGGACGTTCAGCTGAGAGCAGAGTATGATTATACTTCTCTGGTCTTGTAGAAACAAACATCTCTGGTGTCTCTCAAACTGGATTATGTTAGATTATATTAGATTGTGTGCAATAAGTGCAGTAAGTAGTAGTTGGGTTTAGAAGAAGTGGCTATAAATAACAATATAGCAAAGGGGCTGTAAAACTTTTTTTAAAAGCAATTAATATAAAAGTTTTAAGCTTTTATTGTACAGAAATGTGAGAGTGAGACACAACAAAGGTTGGTACACAGCTTGACTCAGCGTCTTAAACCTATAGGCCACGAGGACGCCTCCTTAAAAAACTATATATTTATTATTGAATTGTCATGTAATCTTGCTGCTTGACCTGCTTGAAAATTTTATTGAAATTTTATTTTGTATGGAAAGAAGATTCATTTCATTATCCACTTTAGTTCTGTAAATTAGTTTTTCAGAATCAGCTTTATTTGCCAGGAATGTGTACTCATTTGACTCTGGATCGTACATTGCTTCGTCATACAATAATAAAATCAGACACAGACTACAGTATACAGAACACATATATACACTCTATAAACATGAGTTATAGAGCTGCTGTTTGTTTTCTACCATGAGAAGAATATTATTCGACATAACATTTGACAATTTTATTAAACCGGTCAAATTCAAAGATATTTCACAGAATTGGTAAAAAATATAATTCCCAACTCAACAAACAAATAGTTTAGGAGCAGACGGGGGGTGGGGGGTGGCAAGATATACACATAGAGGTACAGACCGTAAAGGTAATGTTGGTACAGACTGAATGAATAATGGTACAGATATTTATAGTAGTGTTTATGATAATCGAAATGTTAAGGATAATAATAACAATAGGACTACTAGTAATAATAATTGTAGCAGAGGATGTCGAGCAGGAACACGGGGGCAGCAGGTGACCCGCAGCCACAGATCCAGACTCCACAGCTCCAGAGCCAGAAACACCTGCAGGAAGTGATAGGAGGAGAGAGGAGAGGGACGAGAAAGCACAAGCCTACCTGAAAGAGAAGAAGTCAAGTTAGTAACATGCATTAATGGGATGAGGTTTCATACAGAGGGAGAGAAAGAGGAGGAGAGAGGAGCTCAGTGCATCATGGGAAGTCCCCCAGCAGTCTAGGCCTACAGAAGCATAACTAGGGAAAGGTTCAGGACTACCTGAGCCAGCCCTAACTATAAGCTTTATCAAAGAGGAAAGTCTTAAGCCTACTCTTAAATGTGGAGATGGTGTCTGCCTCCTGAACCCAAACTGGAACCTGGTTCCACAGGAGAGGAGCTTGATAGCTGAACGCTCTGGCTCCCATTCTACTTTTGGAGACTCTAGGAACCACAAGTAACCCTGCATTCTGGGAGCGCAGTGCTCTGGTGGGATAGTAAGGTACTATGAGCTCTTTAAGATGAGATGGTGCCTGACCATTAAGAGCTTTGTAGGTGAGCAGAAGGATTTTACATTCTATTCTAGTTTTTACAGGAAGCCAATGCAGAGAAGCTAAAGCAGGAGAAATGTGATCTCTTTTCCTGGTTCCTGTCAGAACACATGCTGCAGCATTCTGGACCAGCTGAAAAGTCTTAATGGACTTTTTTGAGCAGCCTGATAATAAGGAATTACAGTAGTCCAGCCTAGAAGGAACAAATGCATGGACTAGTTTTTAGACAGGATGTTCCTGATTTTTGCAATATTATTTAGGTGAAAAGGTGAAATTTGCTTAATGAGAGTTAAACAACATGTCCTGATCAAAGATAACTCAGAGATTCCTCACAGTGGTGATGGAGGGCGATGGCATCCAGAGTAACTATTTCTTTAGGTAATGCGTCACGGAGGTGCTTGGGCCCCAGAACAATAATGTTAGGATCACAGCACACAGGGTGAGACAGACTTTCTTGAAAGAAAAATGAAAAGGATAGAGATCCTGATTGTGTGTAAACTAGAGCAAGGACAGGAGCAAAGAAGTGAGAAAGAATACATCGACACTCTCAAAAAGGAGAGTATTTGTAACAGTAATTATGTTTGTCTGGTAATAGTCAATATCAACAACATTATGCAAATTAAGATAGTGTGAAATTTATCTCCCCTTTTTAGAATTAAGTTATATGACAAGAACAGAGCGAAATGGCTTTTGCCTATTGAAGAACTTCTTCAGCAGAACAGTATATTCATTGGTTCTAGATGGCACCTTGTCTCTTCACAAAGAACCCTTGTTTCTGAGAGATGAGATGGCGAGCAGCAGCAGGAGGAAGAGAGAGTAAGCATGTTTATGATTCAGTAGGATGAAATACAACAAAACAAAGTCTTACACACACTCCCTGGAAGTCAGAATAGGGAGCCTATTGTTCAGCATTATCTGGGCCGTGTTTGTTTTCTATGGACCGTGAGTGACACTGGGGCTTTGTGTGTATTCCCATGCCTTGTTTGGTTTAAACAGAACCACGTGTGCTTGTAAGTTGTGACATGGCTAACACGCCCTGCACTGCAGTAAACCCCGTGGGGCTTAAAAGAACTTTGAAATATTAAACATGCACTTCATAAACTCCTTACGGTTATACATTTCTTTGAGCTGATGTGTCACATCTTTTGAAGTTTGTATCTTCATAAACACTGGTTTGGGACAACATTTTCCATTGTTCCATTATAACATTATTCATACCTCTTTTGTGGCTCCTGGGTGTCCTTTGCGAGCTTCTTCTGAGTCCTGGAGCTGTCAATAAATTGTTTTGGAAAATCCTGGGGGATGCTCTGTTAACGCTGGATAATAAAGTAAATTGTCTTGCCTTAACTTTGTTAGAACATTTTGGAATAAGATTGCCTAACAAGATTTCTGGATTTTATACCTCAGAAAGCTGGATCACAAGACGAAACAAGACCCAGGCATCTGGTTCAAGTATCGCTTCTTTGAAAAATGAACAGTAGAAAACTGCCTGCAGATATCTCACTGTGTTTTCAATTGATCTACTGTATGTAATCAAAAGAGAATTGAATCTTTTCAAACTTTAGCTCCATGGGAGTTGTATTGCCCAACAGCAAGACACAATTGGAAGACAACTAAGCTGTAGCTTTACCATAATTACTCTCATCCCTACAAGCAGGCAGGCAGCTGCACATGCTCACCAACGTGAAAACATAATACTAGTGTACCACAATAAATATTTATCATGACCTATCTATATGTGTATTTTGTGTGTTTGACAGGTTCAGGTGCACACAATGCTGGAATCGGACATTTTGAGTGATTGTCTGGCGAGGCAGCATCTCCACAGCTCTGCCTCCTCACACCAAGAAAACAGCTCGCCTTTACCGCGCTTAGATGACTTCACAGGTATGCACAGATGAAACAGTAGCAAAAGTCTGCGTTTAGCCTCCAACACCTCTTTGGGAATGAGTTAAAACAAAGAAAAGGGTAATTGCCCAAACACCTGGGCTGTTAAGCTGTCTTTTTCATTTTCATGGCCTCATTTGCTCCTTTTCCTCTCCCTCCTCTCCCATTCCTTCGATGATAGCTCATCATGCCAGTGTTTACCTTGTCCAATTACCGGGCACTGACTGCGGGCGAGTTGGCCCCCTCCCCGCTCGTCCTTCAGCTTCTCCAAACCGGTTTTCCAGCCAAGCTCTTTTTTTCCCCCTTTCAATGGCTGAACCGGGATCAAGAAGCTGTCAGGTACACTGAGGCTCAGTTGGCAAAAGAGAAGGGAGAGTGTCCAGGAGAGCTGTCCATGTCTATTACTTCAGACTACTTGCAGCTTTACCCAGAAGACTTTGAGGGAAAAGCCTCAAACGGCACACTACCAGTTATGTTTATTCAGGGTGAAACAAGCATGTCAGTGTTTAATTTTGAAAATGTCCCAAGAGGACTTTCTCCTTATCAGGAATGGCCAACTGTTAAAGCCTGAAACCAACTCTGACTGTTATGTATATACCTGTGTATGTACATTACTGTTTGTTTGCTGGATTTATGGTGACATATGCTATCATCATCAGCTGCCCTTAAACTAAGTCAAAGCCAAGTGTTGAAAGCCCTGCTGTTGGCGGGCAGGTATTTGTGTTACAGCTATAAATGAACACCACCAAAGAACTAGGTTTTTAGTATCAAACACCCCATGTGGGCTTGCAATATGTCTGAAAGTTTGTAGCTTGCTCCTTTTTGCAGGGAACAATAGCTGTAGCTTGGCTTTGAACTGTTACTATGGATTTCAGTTCACCAGTTCAATTCCAGTTTACCTGTGAAAAAAATTATTAAAATGTCTGTAGAAACTCTTAACAACATTGTTAACTTCTCCTCTGTCCATGTGAATGGCCAGTGTGTTTAGCATATTTTTGCTAGAATAAGCTTAAAATAAATATAGCTTTTTGTGCTTAGATTTTACCCTCTATGTTTGCATTAGTGCTTAAATTATTAGTGGATTAATTGATCAATTGATTGAATTAGTTGATCAACAACAGAAAAAAAACTTTCTTAAAAAGTAAGAGGTACTCTAGATACTCTAGCTTGCTTAGGTTGGTGGCGAACATAGCTAACAGTGCTAGCAATAAACTGTAGCTATGTATGTATTTAGCCATATTTTGGTAAACATTTGAGTGTTTGGAACAAATTATCCAATTAGCCAGACAGCTTAATAGTGAGTTTCTATGTATGTTCTGATAATTTTCTGATGTTCTGATAATTTATGTTCTGAAATAATAATAATAATAATAATAATTTTTTAATGAAACTAGTGTGATGTTGGACTCCATTGTAAATCTAAGCTAATTGTAGCTGCATAGCTGCACAAACCTCCATAAACGAGCAACCTACAAAGTTTTCACAACTACCTTCCAAGCTTACATGTTGTGGTGGATACTCAAAACATAGATTTTCAGTGAAGTAATGCTTTAATAAATCCATGTCTCTTTTTCAGGTGTGTACTCAAACAGCAGCACTGTCCACAACAGTGGAAATTCAGAGTTTCTCCCTCCATCAGCAGACACCTGCTCCGGGTATCAAGGTCTGGAGGGAAACTTTGATGCCAACAGCCCAATATCGTCACTAACAAGCCCAGGGAGCATGAGAGAGGGGTGAGTGTAAGATCATTGCAAGTAGATCCGTGAAGTTAAATGTGTGGGATCCCCAAATACATTTATTTAATCATTTAGGGAAAATTTACATACATTTTCTCCTTAACACTCTACAGTTTTTCATAGTTGGTGTGCCTTGCTCATGGGTAGCCAAACAGTACATGTTACAGTTGTTTATTTTTCCCATTTCTATTTTCTGTCCCAGGGTTTTGCCCTTTCTTTATTTCTTCATAGAGAGAAGCAACCATTAAGTATCATATGATGAGATACAGCTGTGTACCATAAATATAAAACAAAATATATTGTTATTTTATTACTATCATGTGTTTTCAAAGTGAGATTGCTTTTGTTTCTTGGAAAACTGGGTATTTTACTTAATGATGCACTCAGGGGTAAACTTAAATGGTCGGCTCATCCAAATCATATTTTCCCACTACCCCTAGTGGTTTTGAGTTATCTGCTGCAGGGAATTCTGCTGCCAACCCAATACATGGAGCTGAATGGGATTTTGTTTGCATTTGGCAGTTTTCATTCTGAGCTATTTTCTACCGAAGATAAAAATAGTGAAAACTGACCACAGTTTTCAGCTCTTCTCAGCATGTGAAATCAGTCACTAAAGCAATGCATTTTCATGCGTTCACTCCAACATCTCTATTCATTTAAAAAATATTTTATCAATTAAAGTATTTTCTAAATGTCTAAAAACATCAAACCCAGATTTCATGCTTCAATTTTGAATACACGGACCCTGTTTTGATGTGACTCTAAAAATTTCGCAGTCACTTTGCTTCGCCTCTCTGTGTCTGGAAAGCACATGCCCAGAAACAGGGAGAGAGATGTGAGCTTAAGCATTCTTGAATAAACCAGAGACATTATCACCAGAGAGGGAGTTATGGCTTTGCGGTTGCACTGATTGGGTACTTGGAGGCCACAGAACTTATGTGTACTGTAAACTGAGACAAATTTTGTCTAGCCCAGTATAAAAGTAGAAGTGAGACTGAAAAGATACAGCTGACAGCCTCCAGGGCAGCAGTTTCTGAACAATATGGCTTAAAATCATTGGTCATTGAAGAATTGCCCGCAAACTAACTTTTATTGGCACAACAGTAACAACAAAGGCAGTCTGTCCAATGAAAGAGAGTTGATAAGGGCCAGAATAACATTTTTGTGGTTTAATAAATGATATAAAATCTTCACATATTATGCACATACTTTCTACAAGTTGTTTTCAAGTGGGCTTTAGGTCTTGGCCAAGGAATTAAAAAGCTAGTTAAAATGGGTTGTTCTCTTTTAACACAAATTCAAACTTATAATGTTGGGTTTGAAGGTTTATTATTGACCTTGGAAACAGCAGTTCTACAACAATTTCTTAGCGCAAGGTTTACTTACTGGAAAAGCTGATTTTTAAAAAAACTTTCAATCACATCTCAAGGCCTTCATGCATGGTAGCAAGGTTCAACCTTGTGCTAAGTACTTTCTGTCAAATGAAAAACCGATGTTGTAATGTCAGAAATGAAACAGCATCACATTGTTATTCAGTGTGTGTCCAGTGCCCAAACAGCCCTTGAAAATCCTTGAAAGTTAGTGAATTATGTTTTTTTGTAAATTCTAGTAAATGTATTTGGCTTGGGAAGTTGTTGAAAATACTGTGTGAAAATACATTTTAAAAATGTATATAAAATTTAATGCATGTGTGCCAACCTCAGTGAGGCCTTGAAAATCCTAAAAAGTTGAAGCAAAAAAAATTATGGTGATGGATATTCATGAAAGTTGCAGGATTTCCCCTGAATATCATGACTTGAGAAGGTCCTTAGGTGTAAAGCTTGTCAATTTAAAGAGTTAAGTCATATATTTTAGTAAACCAAGTCATTTAATTTGATGTTTAGGTAAGTGTTTGGGTGTATGTGTGATTTAGGACTTATAACTGTATTTTCCTTACTGTCGTATCTCTCAGCCTCCATCTCCTCCAAGTTTGCAGCCAGAGCTTCCATGAAGCTATGCACAAGCTGTTCATTGACGTCTCTTTAAAGAGACTGAGGATGTCATAGAATCCCACTGGTGCCCGCAGTACATGATGGCCTGCCAAAGCCAATACCAGACAAGCACTTGTTTTTCCCCTAAATGACTTAGCGAGACGTTAAACACGTGAAAGTAAATTATCTTTGCTTCACGGCAGAACCGGCATCAAGCTCTGACCTCATAGCCAGCCGCGTATTTACACTGGCTGAGACGAGCCATTTCGACTTCTTTTAATTATTTAATACTTGAGGGATTCAGAGGCCCTGCACTAAGACTTGTCCATCAACGAGTATTTGTGATGTGCAGTGTTTGTGTGTTTTGCGGTCGAGGGGAGCTGGATTGGCTTTTTGGAGCAGCGTGTCCATCAGATACATGCACACTCACCAGGATGGCTCTCACACAGAAACGCTATTATACAATTTGAAGGAAAGAGAAGCAATGAAGTTTACTTTGCAGAAGCTCCGTGTGACATTGGATCCAAATAGTAACTGAAATGTTTGACATGTCCACACATTTTTGTATTTACTGTATCTCTGACATGCAATAAGTGTACTCTGGTTTCTCTAAGTACTTGATTGGTAGCGCTTAGATCCCATTAAATCTTCATCTGTGTTACATACATTCAGCTTGATCCTCTGTGATCCAGTAAATCTATATCGCAGAAGTACTCCACAGCATCTTTGCCAGAACTGAATCTGAAAACAGATCAGTTTAGCGCGCACAAGCTGGCACCTTTGGTAAATCTACTCATCCCCTCGCCTGATCCAGTCCAAATGTGCTGCTATTAAAAAGCAGCCATGGATTAAAGCAGGGTTGCATACAGTATAATGTGCATATAAACATAAGCACTTAAATTCTGCAGGCAGGATTCTTCTCATTCCAGATACGAGGAGGGCAGCTGGCTGTAGTTAGTTAGAAAGAAGAAAAAAAGTGAATGATGAAGGGGTTTAGCCAGTAAAATATGATCAGAGAAACAGTTTCCTGAGGTCGTGCTGACAGCCGCTCCCTCAGGCGTGGGCCCTCTGTTAAGCTCATGCATCGGAGAGGTTTGGGCACACTGGCCACAAAACGACAGATCAACCCAGCAGGGCCACGCATGGCTCAGACATCTCAGCTATGTTGTTGCAGCGTTGCAAGAATGTAAGCCGTGGAACAGACGGCGTTGTTTACAGTTAAGGTCAGCTCTGATGGTTCTGGGGCCACCAGGGGGAATCCAAGAGAAGTGTTGAATTCTTGGGGCTCGCAGTCATCGTGGCACATTTCAACAGTCATACTATATCAAAGCCCACTTTGTTTACATAATCTTATACAAAGCCTGGTCTTTATTACCTTGGGAACCCACAGCCATCTGTAAGTTATATCAGTTTCGGTTTCAAAAAGTCTGATTAATTTTGGCTTTTATTGTATTTCTCCACTGACAGCAGAGGCTGTTAAATTAAATTTAATAGCATTTGACATGGGAAATGGGTAATAAAGAGACCTGGGGATGATAGATGATAGATATGTAAAGAAATCTCCAAACATTTCCTTTTTTTATAGCTGGTCAGATGCGAATATAGGAGGCACTTGGGCCAGCAGCCATCAGTATCTCTGACAAGGCCTGGCTTGTTTATGAAGCCACTAAAGCCTTTCCAGCAGAAACCAAGGCCATTTGGCTCTCAGGGGACCAATATGCTACAGAACATCATCCAGGAGAGTTCTCAGGCCACATGAAATGCTGAGAGCTAGCTCTTTGAAGGAGGGGTGGAGGTTCAGCTGCGTATCTCCTTGGAGAGATTATTCGGCTGCCTTTCTTTCTTCTTGTCGACTTGGCTCCACTGACTCATTCGTTTCCATGTTAAGTCAGAGTGTTTGTGCACAGTCAGCACATTCTTGCAGCGTAGCGATGGATACAGCTCCACACAAAGCCCGCCTACATTATAGCCCCCCCCCTCGAGGTGCAAACGCTTCCTTATAGCAACTACACTGTTTTGTACCTAAGTTACATGTGTCTTATTTGTGTCTGATAACACAGCTGCTGCCACACTGACAGATAATGGTAACTAGCATAAAGAATGAAAGATCATACATTTATGTTCTACTTTAGTGAAGCCAAATTAAAATAAACTTTTCTAATTAATTCAAATGAAAGTTATAAAGTTATAGAAATTGCCTTAAAAGAAAGAAGAGTGGCTGAAAAGTATATTTGTAAAGTCCAAAGCTGCTTATCTGACATTATATTTAATTTAAATTGTTCTTATTTTGAAATTGCATGATCTTCTTGTCAGCCGTCACATTACAAATAATTTGATTACGACGCCAGCATAATTTTACTCTGTTCTTGGCTCAGTAGTGAGGTAATAAGGTTTAAGAAACATTGAAGTAATCTCTTTTTGACATGTGAAACCTTAAACAGTTCAGCAGGAGTGGTGTTAAAGCCAACTGGAATAAAGTAAAAAAAACAAAGGGATTACTATTGTAATTGAGTTGTGTCAGTCACATATCAGTTGTTGAGAAGCGTCCTTTTTTTCATCCGACTTTAAAAAAAGACTTTGAAAGTTTTCCAGTTTTATTATGTCTTGTTTGGTCAGTAATAGACCAACATTTTGGGGAATTGGCTTATTCACTTTCTTGCTGAGAGTTAGATGAGATAATTAATACAGCCCTCATAACTATATGGTAGATATATAGCTACAGTCAGCAGCACCATGACTGGAAACGGGGGGAAACAGCTAGGCTCTGCCCTAACACCGGCCACCAGCCCTGAGGGGCTGGCTACAGGCTGCAGTTCCGGGTCCACCCCCCGCAGAAGTTCAACGGGGTGGTCTGGACTGCGGTGCACGCCAGGCAGAGCCAGGTGTTGGGACAAGAAGTTCGCTCTCTGCTGGAAAATGGGGCCAGAGAGTCAGGGAGTCCGGGTTCTACAGCCGGTACTTCATAGTTCCCAAGAAGGACGGATGGGTTGCGTCCGATTTTGGATCTGCGGTCCCTGAACCAATCTCTGAGGAGATTCAGGTTCAGGATGCTCACCATCCCCGCCATCATCAGTTCCGAGGATTGGGTTGTCACGATAGATCAGCAAAGACGCTTATTTCCAGTCTCCATCCGTCCCTCTCACAGGAAGTTCCTGAGGTTTGCCTTCGAAGAAGAGAAAAGAAGAGCAGCTTACCAGTATCGGGTTCTTCCATTCGGCCTAGCACTCTCTCCCCGCACGTTCACCAAATGCATGGATGCAGTTCTTGCCCCGCTGAGGCTCCAGGGCATCCGCATACTGAACTACATCAACGACTGGCTCGTCCTGGCCCAGTCTCGAGAGTTAGCGGTTCGGCATCGAGATGTCGTCCTCGCCGACCTTCAGCGTTTGGGGCAGCGGCTCAACGCGAAGAAGAGCGTGCTGACGCCCGCCCACCAGACTACGTTCCTAGGGGTGGTGTGGGACTCAACGACGATGCGGACCCACCTGTCTCCCGCACGCATTGAGCCCATTTTATCCTCAGTGACCAGAGTGCAGTTAGGCCGCGCCATCACTGTAAAACACTTTCAGTGGGTGTTGGGTCTCCTGGCAGCAGCGTCCATTATAATACCTTCCGCACTACTGCACATGAGAGCCCTGACAGTGGTGGCTAAAATCCAAGGGTTTCTCCCCAAGGGGAAATCCACTCCGTCTGATACGGGTTACGAGCAGATGCCTTCGTTCCCTGTCTGTATGGAGGAACTCTTGGTTCCTGTCCCAAGGTCCCGTGTTGGGAGCGATCTGTCGCCCAACAATTATTTCAACAGACGCCTCACTCACGGGATGGGGCGCGGTCATGGACGGCCGCTTTGCGAGAGGCTCCTGGGAGGAGCATCATTTCTCCTGGCACATAAATTGCCTGGAAATGGGTTTTCTGCCCGCTCTCCGCCGTCGCCACATCCTTGTCAAAACCGACAATACGGCAGTGGTGACCTATTTGAATCACCAGGGGGGCCTGCGCTCGCGCCCGTTATGCAAACTGGCACATCAGATCCTCCTGTGGTCCCAGCAGAGACTGCTGTCCGACTGATGTACGAATCAGGGAGCAGACCTGCTGTCGAGACTCCACCCCGAGGTGGTGGAGTTATTATGCGAAGAGATCTGCCCCATAGACGTGGACTTGTTTGCGTCCCGAGAGACGGCGCACTGTCCCCTGTGGTTCTCCCTCTTGCCCCCAGTCCCGCTAGGGCTCGAGGCCATGGTGCAGTCGCTATGCTCCCGGGGGTTCTGGAGGCTGGGCTCCCTGCTTCTAAACACACCATCAGCAACTGGATCGTTCAGACTATTTCCCTGTCCTATCAGGTGCGCAGTATTGCCTTTACCTATGGCCATAAGGGCGCACTCTACTCGAGGCATGGCGGCTTCTTGGGCCCTCCTCGCAGGGGCGTCACTCCAGGATTTGTGTGACGTGGCTGGCTGGGCCACCCCTCACACTTTCATCCGGTTTACAGTCTGGACCTTCCTTCTGCACCCGGCACCCGTGCGCTCTCCTCCTAGTCGTGCCGTCAGGTTCTGCACGCTGGGGGCAGGCGGGGTTTCGGCGTGGCCTAAGTGGGTATCTCGTTGCCATAGTGTCGTCACCAACGCAGTTCGAGTTCCCTCGAAGGGGAACGTCTCGGGTTACGTATGTAACCCATGTTCCCCGAGAAAGGGAACGAGACACTGCGTCGGTGTGCCACACCTCACCCCGCCTGGAGTGCCTTGCTTCATAGAAAAGGGCTAATGTGTCCTGTGTGCCAGCGTGTTTATATACCCCTCCGGTTACGCCGTCACACGCTACCGTTCTAGCAACACCAATAGGATTGGAGTAGTTTCATTCATAGTTCAGCCCTGCCACGCCCAGAGGCGTTCCCATAGTGCCGTCACCGACGCAGTGTCTCGTTCCCCTTCTCGGGGAACAAGGGTTACATACGTAACCCGAGACGTACACAATAGATGTGCTATCGTTACTGTTTGTTTTTTCAAGTAACCTGTATAAAATATTGTAGCATGAAATGACTTTGGATTTATGCTGGGTTAGGTTACTAACTCAGTAATTAGGCTAACTATCTGCATCAGTTAGCCAAACATACTAACATGTGCAGTTTTCAAATAATCCTTTCCTTCTTGTCTAAATCTGTCAATCTATTCCTTTAATGTTTGAAGCATCTTTTATGAATAAAACATGCATCAAGTTGAAATATTTGTCATGGTTGTATATGTCATATTAATTACTCAAAGAAATGTTCATGTTTAGGACTGTTTAAGTCAGCCTCCTGGTATTGTATTGCCAACAGGAACCGGCCAGCATCGTTGTTTATGTCCGCTGACGTCAGCCCAGTGAGCTCCTCATCAGACAGAGCAGACGTCCAGTTACAGGGCTACCATAAAACCTACAGCCACCAACAACTGTTCTCACAGCAGCAAGGTACTGACGGTGTTCACTGTACATGTGTCAACATCAGCAGCTTCGCCATATCAGTATGATGTATAGCTTTTGGTGTTGTTCTTGGCATTTTACTATTTCCCGTGTGATTCTCCAAGGATGTCTGTATGGAGAGGGAAAGGTGGTTCAAACAGTCAGTGATGGAGGCTTTGAACCCATTGGTTACTTCACAAATCCCTCTGCATCTCACTCTACAGGTAAGATAGCACTAAAGCAGAGTAAATGAGCCCATATGCTCCAATCTAAGTGCTTTCTACGTGTCTCCCTCCTTTCTATGATGTCTTTTCACTCCACGGCTGTTCGGAACAAACACTTTTGATTTTCAATGTGGTCATGCCGTATGTCGTGCGAACTAGTTCTTTTCTAGCAAAACCCAACCCTTGAGACCTAGGCGAGTTAGCTGGAGAGACTTTGTTTCTAAAGGCTTGTTAAACTCCCATGCTACATGTTCAAATGAGGACTGGCTTTGAATGTTATAGAATCTGAATCTGCTGGGGATTCCTTTGTCATCTGCTTAATTTGTTTTTGGAGGGTTTGGTGTTAATTGCTTCTGGGTTGTACTGCATGTCTGACTCTTTCTGATTTTCATGTTGTTTTTAACTAATGATTATGATGATTAAAGAGTAATTATTGAAAGAACTGCATGCCCAATTTCCTTCACGTGAAAAGAAAGGAGCTGCTGTGAAAAAACATATTCATTTTCTGTTTTCCTCTTCTCAGAGTTTGACTTGTTGCAGGACCTGCAGGGCCAGGCAGGGGGGGGTTACTCCATGTCTCCCTGCTCAGACGACAGCTTCCTCTTTCAGGCAGGAGGTGTAGACCGCTGCCTCAACCAGATCTACTCCATCTACCTGGACTCATGATGTCAACCCAGAACCACAAAACTTAATCAGATCATTTTGTTTTCCTAAGGACAAACTTCAACATGCAGGAGTGTGATGGGGGACAATCACAGCAACAATATATGGCATATTCATGACTGAAGTTAAGTTTTAACGGTACAAACAAAAGTGCAAAATTGACTAGAGGCAGAGCTGCTGGCAAAGTGACAAACATGAACAGCCAAAAGAGAAAATCTGGTCAAATTATAAATGTAAATAGCAGTGACTTTTTTATTCAGAGATGACCACAGCATTTGTGATCTGGATTGAATGAGCTATGAGCTTTATTTGCTAGTTTAATGTATTAGAAAGTCAGATTGCTGGCTCGCTGGCTCTGCCACTTATGTTAAACTCAACCAGTGAACTTCACTTTGCCTACAAAGCAGCTTTGCCTCCAGGAAATGTTAAAACAACCATCAGAATGGTATCTTATAATGTAGTGTTTCCCTATCTAGGGTCAATAAATAAATCTACTGGGGTCAAAGGATGATTAAGAAGATACCAAAGAACAAAAAAAATATAGTTCTGCTTCACATATTATACAAAACTCTTTTCTCTATTTGTTACTTTTTTCTATAAAAGTAAATAAATAGTTTTTCCTTAATTCGGCAAGCATCATTTTGAGGTGTCACAAGCCAAAAGGTTGGGAACCATTATGTTGTAATTGATATCGAGATGCATTAAGCAGTGTAAGCAGTAGAGAAAGGAATATTTGTACATTTTGGGAGAAAATGCTTATTGTTTTCTTCTCTTCTCTGTTGAGAGTTAGATGAGAAGGTCAATCCACTCGCATATCTGTATGCTAAAAATGTAGCTACTGTACAACATTTATTAGCTTAGCACAAAGACTGTAAATGGGGGAAACTGATGGCCTGGTTTTGTCTAAATGTTACCAGTAACTTACCAGTAACTTTAAACACATTATATCTCATTTGTCTAATGTGTAAAAATACGGAGGATTATGTGTGACTTAAAAATCATAACTTTGTAACATTTTTAAGGTTTTTTTGTGCAGGTTAAACAAACAAGACGTAACGTGTAAATTAGTGAACTTTAGAGATGCTGGTAGCCAGCTTTAGTTACCTTTGGACAGCACCAGGCTAGCTGGTACCCTCTGTTTATGGTCTTTATACTAAGGTAAGAAGCTAACCAGCTGCTCGCTGTAGCTTCATATTTACCAAACAGGCATGATAATAACAATAATGATCATTTTACTTGTGGGGCACTGTTCAAGCAAGGAGCCTACAGTGCTTTCCAGTGCAGGGAGACAGCATAAAAAGACAATCATGCACAGATATAAAAACAAACAATTAAGACAGTGTAAAAATAAACATAAAAACTGACAGTAATCACAACAGATCTGTATAATACAAACAAATGAGTTGTCAGACAAGTCTCTAAATATGTGTTTCAAGACAGGATGTTAAAGCTGAGACAGTGTCAGCAGACCGAGTTGCAATTATAACTGGAAGACTGTTCCAAAGCCAAGGCGCCAATACAGCAAAAGCTTGATCACCGCTCAACCTCAACATGGGCTCTAAAAGGCCTTCTGGGAAAGAAAAAGATTCACTGATATACTGTTAATCATTGTAAGTAAAGCAGGTTGTTCAAATGGATTCTAAAAGAAATGTGTTACCAGTGTAAAGAGGCTAAAACTGGGGTGATGTGAGAAGTGTGTTTGGTCTTAGTCATGAGCCAGGCTGCTGGAATGATATCGATCTTCTCTACTAACCCTCGGCAAGAATGCAAATAAGTGTATACCCCTAGATGTCAAGCTATTCCTTTAAGATTGTAGTGTGTGTTCATAAACACAGTTAAATTACCTTGTAACCAAAGCGTCATTGATAAAAGAGGGAACAGCAGCAGACTGGAGTGTACAGTAAACTGCAGCAGTACTGCCACCAAGTGTCTGAATGACTGTATATACATATAATATACATACAGTCTTTGGTACAGAGTGGGTCAGTGTGGATGACTCTGGGACTAATAAATACACAAACCAAAACCAAAAACTGCACTAAAATATATCGTCTATGATTTGTCTGTCATGGACTGAGAGGTGCCAACAAATACGTTTCAGTATGTGTAACCTAACAACGATCAAGACAGTAGCATAATCTCCTTTTTTTTTAAATAAATATTGTTTCTTCTTTTGGTTCAGCACAGTGCCTATACAGGTTTGTTGTATAGTTTCTATCAGTGTTATATTCAGTGAGAGGGAAGTGCGCAGTGTTTACAATAACTTCTCTGCACTCTTTTCTGTCTCATCACAGAGACTTAAAAAAAATGACCAACCAGAAAATGTTTACACTGATTTTGTAGCAAGTCAGAGATTTCTTATTATTGTCAATGAACAGTGTATATAGACTGTATGTAAATGCACCTGTTTTATATCTAAATAAAAAAAAACTGTTTGTTTATGCTTGTTTTTGTTTGTTTAGGGCTAATTTTCTGGATTAATCACAAGGCAGTGAAAAAAAGCCCATTAAGGGAGACCGGGGTCTCCCTGGGGTGGGTTGTAACACTTCTTTGAAAAGCATTATAACCATACCCTTTACATACAACTAGGGACTTTCTTGATTTAAATATTGTTACAGCCTCTGAGTTCACTTAGCCTGCACTCCAGGGTTCCCAGCATTCATTTGTCAGCTCTGTGACCAGTGCTTCCATTTACATGTAGTTCACATGTTGGCGTGTGTATCAGCACCCAGTCTTTTCCCTACTCAGTCTCCACCGGTGGAGATGGCAGCAAAGAGTACTGGTAGCTTGTGAAAAGTGCTGGTGTGCAGGAATAAGTCCCGGTATGCAAAGAGTAAAATGTAGAAGTGCTGGTACTGCATACTGGTGTTTACTGGCCCACTGTAACCACTGACTGTGACTCTGATTAAGAATATACACACATTGACACACACACACACACACACACACACACAGATGTTTATTTGTTAGACCTAAAGATGTACAAAGACTTTCTTTAATTAGTTACAAATTTAGTAGAATTTATTAAGTGTACGACTTTTTTTATTTATTAAGTAAGTTTGTTCTAGTAGACACACACAAACACACACGTGTCATCATTGCAGTCTGTTGCAGAGAGAGAGAAACTTATTATTTTATTCTATTATACCTCTTTTTGAAGCAGATCATATGATGTGGCATCCATTTTTGCTTCTTTTGTCTAATTGTTAAAACTTACCCCAGCATATGTTACAACCTACCCCGGTGGTGACATCAACTCACGAGGTCTGTGATATTCTTGTACAGGATTTAATTGGTGCCATTTGTAGTAAACCATTGTAGGTACTTTGTATAGAAGTTTGAGAACTTAGTGAGTTATAGTTGCTGAAGCAAAAAGTGTTAGAGCCACACCGGTCTCCCCTATAATTTCCCAGAGCTCAAGATGACATCTTCATATTTCTTGTTTTGTTTAGTTTTCTATCATATGTGACATAGAAAAGCAGCAAATTCTCACACTTGAGAAGCTGGAATCAGTGAATGTTTGGCATTTTTGTGTGAAATGTGACAATGTCATAATTCTCTGTTAAGTAACTTTTCAATTATTCAACATATCATTCAGCTTGTGTTGCTAGAAAGCTATAACAGATATGCCTAAGTGTATGTTTTGAATTTGTTGAGTGCTGGTTATTACTGCCATCTATTGGTCATAGGTATAAAAAACAGGAACATCAGTAAAGCTGAAGTTATTATGATCCAAGAAAGGTTCTAATAAACATGAACTGAAGGTAACTTCCCTTTCTGAATTTTAAGAGATTTCAAAGGTTATGAGTTAACAATTACATTGTAGACTATAGATTATAACTATACTGTTGATTAAGAGTATAACATTCCTCAGATAAATGGGTGTGATATTGCTGCAGGTGATGCTACAATCAGTTACATTACATTTACATTTTATTTTCCCAGTACATACTGCGATAGATATACTGTTACCAACAGGATGGCAGTTCAAACAAACAAATCTGACAGGTGAGCAGGTGACAGGCAACAAAAAGCAGGAAAAGCAGGTTGGGTTATTAAAGGAGAGACAGTCTACATCCCAAGAAGGTGTGTGGGGGTGGGGTTCAGAAGACTGGAAAGCAACATTAGGCAGAGAATGAGTGGAAATGGGCTGGTTATAAACTGCATTGCTGATGAGGTAAAGTGGAAACAGGTGATCGGGTGGACATGATAATCAGGTGACTGGGACAGGTGGAAAAGTCTGAGGGCACCTGGTGGACAGGAAAGAATTGTGCCTGGAGGGATACGGGCAGAAGTGCCAGTATCATGCACTAAATGGTAAGTTCAGTAGATACTGCATATTATCTTGTGTACAGCAGTTACAGGTATGTAATACAGAAATTGTGGTTATTGTTTAAACAATAAACATTATTGAATAAACAGATTAAACTCTATTAATAGGTATCATGATAGAAACAAAATAATACGTAGCATATGTATAATAATGCATGTACAGTAACAGAAAAAAGTTTGTGAACCCTTTGGAATTACCTGCATTTTTGCATAAATTGGTCATAAAATGTGATCTGATCTTCATCTAAGTCACAACAATAGACAAACACAGTCTGCTTAAACTAATACCACACAAACAATTTAATAAAGTTTTTATTGAGCCCACGGTGTACACATTCACGGTGCAGGGTGGAAAAAATATGTGAACCCTTGGATTTAATAGATGGCCTTGCAATATTCTGCAAAATTTCTTGATAAACTTTGGAATTCATTTTTCTGTCGATCAAAGTCCTGAGGGAGAGAAGCAGTTGGGATGAGGTTTTGATGTTGGTGTGAGGTTGAGGTTGTATGTTCCTTCAAAACAACTAAACTTTATTTTCATGTGTCCACCAAATATTTTGCCAGTAGTGCTGTGGAATATCCAGGTGCTCTTTTGCAAACTTTTTGAACAGCAGTGGCTCCCTCTGTGGTGTCCTCCCATGTACTCCACTTCTTGTTCAGTGTTTTATGTATCGTAGAGCCGTCAACAGAGATGTTAGCATAAGTCTTCAGCTGACACTCTAGGACTCATCTTAACCTCATCTTTGCAGGACGACTACTCCTAGGGAGAGTAGCAACAGTGCTAACTGATGAACATCAGGCTTTTAGAGATACTTTTGAAACCCTTTCCAGCTTCACAAGTCAACAATTCTTAATCTTAGGTCTTCTGAGAGCTCTTTTTGTTTTAGGCATGGTTCACATCAGGCAATGCTTCATGAAGCAAGCAAAATTAAAATTGGTGTGTTTTTATAGGGTAGAGTGGCTCTAACCAACACCTCCAATCTCGTGTCATTGATTGGACTCCAGGCTGGCTGATGCCTGACTCCACTTAGCTTTTGGAGAAGTAATTAGCCCAGGGGTTCACATACTTTTCCCACCCTGTAGCCTATTGTGAAAGTTTACACAATGTGTTCAATGAAAACATAAAACACTTAACTGTTTGTGTGGTATTAGTTTAAGTAGAGGGTTCACATACTTTTTTAATTGATGCTCTCTTTTCTATTATATTGTCAGCAGGGCCCCCTCTGATTTGTTATACAGTGTGAAATATACATTATATGCAAAAACATCTAAAAACATACATTTATACAGACGTTCCATATTAAGACTAATCTGAAAGAGTTTTCACTAATTCTTTTTAAGGGGTAAATGAATAATGAAGCTCCAAACCCCGTTCGTGAAGGCCTATATTAATAAACAGAGACCTGTTGTATCAACCTGGAAGAGTTTGATGAGAAAGTTAGTTCAGCCACCAGGGGGCGCTCTGTGGTCACAGAGCAGGTCGGTTAAACTTTGTACCGAAGTCAGGCAGGATCAAATCTATCATCTTCAGTTGCAGATAAACTGAACTGACTTTCAACACTGTGGATGAGTAGCCTAAACATTATTCCCCCCCCCCCCCCACACACACACACTGTGACTAAAAGCCTTATTTCCACATTCCGCCCGGAGGGAGACACACCCTCAGATCCAGAGGAGAAGTTCAACAGGGACAGTTGATGGGATGCAGAGAGGAGAAAGACGCTGCCGCCGCCGCTGGTGGGTTTCACGTCTCATGAGCTTCTGACGGCGAGCAACAGGGTTGAAGCAGGCATGCCCATCAGAGGTAAGAAAACACATTTCCTTTATACATGTGGACTTCTTTTTCATATCTCGAACAGTTAAAAATCACTTTTATTTATACAGCGCCAATTCAGTTACTTTTCATATAGCCTTGTACAGTCGATCTAGACCCTCTGCAATAGTAATCACAGAGACGAAACAATTAACAGTAGAAACCTCGAGCAGGACCTGCCGACCAACTGCCTCGACTGGTTGGGTTTAGAGAGAGGGGGGGTGACAGAGAGAGCAGGAGGATAGAGTACAATGCAAGGATAAGGTCATCCAGATTTTTATGTCCTTATAGGTGTGCATTTATCTGTATCGTTTTATGTTTTATTTGGGGAACGTCATATTTTTGCATATCTGAAGAAGACCTTTAACCATCCACACAGGGTCTGACTTGAAATTTAATGAAATGATGCCATTATGATGTGTTTTGCACAGAGATGTAGCCAGATATGAGCAATACTGGGGTCATCGACCCGCCAATTCCACCCCACCCCTCTCAGACAACACCAAAAAAGTACATAAAATGATCTCATTAAATAGTGTTTTTTTTGTGTTTTTTTTTACATTTTATTGATTCAGTCAACTGTCAGATTATGTTCTGTAAAGTTTATTTCGCTACATGCTGATTAAAAGACCTCTCTGCCCTTATTGAATCCTGAAATATTTTTATTTTAGTTTGCCTTGAATTAGTAGCCTACATTTAAATTATATGAAGTATAAAATAATAAGAGAATCAACCTTTAAAACACCACAACTTTCAGTTGTTGGACATTAAAATGCCCTTTGTGTCCTTTGTGGTAGAGGCTACTGCAGCTGCTGCCCTGGTTTAATGTAAGAATGTTTTATGATGAAGAGCTGTATGAAAGGAGACCGTTATTTCAGGGGAAACTCTGCTGCCAGAGAGGATGTAGCAACTCACATTGTTACTGAGTGAGATCATCCATGTTCTCCAGATATAAACCTTGCTCGTCTTGCTGGGCACAAACACCCTGAGAGGAGACGATCCAAGAAAATCCGACTGTTTGGATGAAGTGCCTTCACTCTCACAGTTCTGGCTGTGAGGCTCTGTGAAGGTCTACTAGTGTTGCTTCTGTTGTGTGTCGTTTCAAAATCCAAAGACCAACTCATTTGTCAATGGTTAGCGTGAGTGCAGATCTCTGGCAGATTCTGAAACATGGTCAGCGCTGAGTCAACTCTAACCTTTAGTCTGTTTCTGTTATCAGACTGAGAGATGGGAGTTTGACTCTTCAGGCATTAAGTTATCTTAACTGGTGAATGCATGGAATTACTGACGCATACA